TGCATTAACACTGTAGCACATGTTAGCTTCTCTTTCTTTTTAAACTTTTGTAAATTAATTTATGGTATTATAACAGTTATATTGTCATAAAGCATGTTGAAGTTCTCTCTAGTCATGGCTGCACCCAGAAACTGCTTAAAGTTCAGATGTTTGCCTTAAGAACAAACACGAACAGCAGCAGCGTAACATGTGCTGTAGATTTGCACAAAGCAGCGCTGCCTTTCCTTCCTTTGTCAAGACTGAAGTCATCCTGCCTGAATAAACGTTGACGTGAACCGGTGTTGACGTTCGGTGTGAGCTCCACCCGGCAGCCAGTTCATCGACACGTACAGCGTGAGCAGCTATTGTGACAAAAATGTTGTGTTTCCAACTGCAATGTGTTGAATTCTTCTTTTGCCTTTTAACAGACAAAAAAAACGGGAGCAAAAAGCATCAGTTAAGTAAAAAATACAACTAAATAAACTCGACAGTGTTAAAAATTGGGCGATTTGTGCCGAACGAAACAATTTTAAGACGAAATCCTGCCGATCTTTAGTCTGTGCGCGCTGCTTGAATCTTAAACCAGGCGTCTGCCCGTTACAGGAGGTCGTCCTGAAGCCGTTTGATGTTTTGAAGACAGATGGATCGTGGCACCCAATTCTTAAGTGTAAAAGGAAGTGCTGTGGCACATCCGTCTTCTTTTAGATTCAATTTGTGGCTGTAAATGGCTGAACTTTCCGGGAAGCTTTTTTTTTTTTTTTTTTGAAGTTGAGCATCAGACTAGAGGAGCAATAAAAGCTTCCTGCTATTGTCAGGCTCATTTCTGCGTTACCGACGCTCTCATCCACAACAGAATAAAAGCTTCCTCCATCAACGACTTTATGCGCAACCAAACAGATGCAGGGTCTTGAGATCGCAGCAGCGTATTTCTGCAACGAGCGGAAACGAAGAAGAAAAACAATGACGTAAAAGTAAAAACCGTCACCTCAGAGAACATTGCGAAGGAGAGTTTTACCTTCATATGTTCCACTGAACCTAAACCTCCCTTAAACCAGAATAGAATCAGTCTCTGTAAACAGGTAGACCCACAACTTGGCAACACTTTGCAGTCGCTCCTTTCTCCATCTGTCTGCTTAACATTTACAACAATTCACACCCGTCAGCACGTGCACGTGTTGTGTTCCTGGGTCTTGTGCAAAGTGTGCAAAGTGTGTAACTCTGCGTGCAAAACGGTGTGCATCGGAGATTTGACTGTTTGACAGCTTCCCCTCCCAGACAACAAGTCTGACTCCTCTTCTCATGTCTCCGTAAAGACGTGTGAAAGATTCACGCGAGCTGCTGTTGCCAGGTAGATTTTACTATAACGAGTCCGTGAACATCAGCAGATTCGTTTTGTGTGAATGAGATGAGAGGTGTTCGGTATCTTTAGAACGTGCAGGCAGGTGTTAACACTTCCTCCCAGCTGGAGTATCTTTTTGTTCTGAAAATGTTTTCTACAAAGCTCTCTTAATATTTTAAGCCGGAAGCTTGTTTTTTGAATTGCCAGGATCATTTTTTTTTTCCTTACAGGTTGGGTAATCTTCTCTAAAGTTGTTCAGATAGGTTTAGGGATAACGCTGCCAGAACGCTGTGCCCTAATGCTCTTAAAATGAGTGTTGCTCTCTTATCAAAAAACGTCTGGTAATAAATCACATTACCGGGATATTTTTACAGAAAAAAAAAGTCGTCTGAGGCCTTGGAAGACATTCTTTGAGTATTGGTAGAAGAATGTTGTCATGGAACCTAATAACAACATCCTCCAAACATCCCATGAATGTTGATGTTAGAACGGTCTGCCCGTTTAACCTCGTAGCGACGTTATTAGAAATCGTAAACATCATTGGAACATCCTCTGGCTATTGGGTTAAACCTCAACAACAGTCTGGAATGCAGTGATTTGTTGTGTTTGCAGCAGTTTCATACAATATTTTCTACATTCTCCAACAAAACGAACCCAACAAATTGCGACCTGACGGATGCTCTTCATAGACAAGTTACAGAAAGAAAGGTGGGATGTTGGAGTCATATCGGGAGCTTTGTTGTGCAGGAGTCTCCGAACATATGGATGAAATAAGAGCAACATCATGCTTTCGGTGCCAGCGTATCGAGTATCGAGAAAGAGCCCTCAATCTGTCAATCCTTTCCGTGTCCGATGCATGTTTGTTTGAGCTACATTCGGTACTTTACGCTTCATATTCAACACTGAAAAAGAAATGGGGATCTTTCTAAAAGGACAGTTGCACTCTATTTACAGAATGAATCGCGTGATTATTCCTGAGATACGTTGAGCACAGCGGATAAACAATGCATGTGAATTTGGAACTTCTTCTACAAATCAAAGCACCTGCAAAGTCCAGCAGCGTCGACTAAACTCTGATTTACAGTTATGACATCAAGCCTTATCTCCCTCGTGGTGACTATGAGAGAGTCATTCACGCTCTGATCACGACCAGGCTGGATTATCGTAACTCTTTGTACATCGGCCTCGATTCAACGGCTTTTAACCGGGAACCAAAAAAACATGAACATATCACCCCGGTCTTGGCGTCTCTCCACTGGGCTTCCTGTCCATTTTAGGGTTGTTTTTACTTCTTGTTTTTAAAGCTTTACGTGGGTCGGCCCCGCTTTATTTATCAGAGCTTATTCAGGTCCACAAACCTGTCAAAGGACGGCGGTCGTCCAGCCGAGTGGTCCTGGAGGTCCCCAGATCCAGACTCCGTACCAAAAGGTGACCTTTTCGGTGGCAGCCCCCAAACTTTGGAACAGCCCACCGCTGGACATTAGGACGCCTCAGACCGCTGAATCGTTAAAGTCTCGGCTAAAGACTGACCTCCACTCGATGGCTTTCACCTCGATCGGGCGCTGACATCCTGGATGCATATATACGTGTGGTTTTTATTGTATGGTCTTTTTCGTGTTGATTATAAGTCTGGAAAGTACTTTGGTCAACCCTGGGTGTTGTTTAATGTGCTATAGAAATAACATTGACCTTGACATCTTGGGTAGATTACGAAGACTCCAAAAGCCTGAACTGTCCTTTAAAAGTGGCAGCAAACAAGGCCTTCTTGAGACTTAGAAATGGGATTAAATCACATGGTGAGACCATCGCCTGATCTAAACTGAACTGTTTACGTGTTTCAAGTGAAGACGTCTTTGTTAGAGGCCAAGAACAGGAACGACGTCTCTGTTGGACAAAAGCGCTGCTGAAAAACATCAAACATGAAACTTTCATTAGGTTTGTTGTTATGTCCAATTAGAATAAATGTTTGCCCAAATTGGGGGGACCACAGACCGGACTGATTTTGAACAGCCTCGAATTAAAGCTTGAAGTTGACACTTGAATCTAAAAAAGTGATTGTTTCGTTTCAAGTGCAGGGCGCTTGATTAAAGAGCAGAGCAGCACAACAGAGTAATAAAAAAAAATAAAATAAAGGTTTTAAAAAATGTGTCACCGTGCAAATAAAAACCCGCGGCCTCAGGTGAAAGTTCTCCCCCGACTGGAGACGGTCGGTCCGTTGACATTGAATCAGTGATTGACTTTGTAAGCTAATAGAGTTTTTTTTTGTTTGAGGTTTTCCATCCAAATGAGTTTGACTTGAGTGTAGGGTTCCCAGCGGTGAGTCTGAAAATCTGCCCACAGCCCAAGAAAATGACTGCGGCTGCTGTCGTTCTGTCTCAGCAGTTGTTCCATTATTCGCCTTCTACGGGGCGGCGTCGAGATTTATCTCTACGTGACATTATTACTGCTTGTCTGTCTCCTGTTCATCTCGGGGTGAGACTAGTTTAATTTTACAAATTACAGCCGATACTACACGAACACCTGAAAGTCAGAGCTTGCAGTTAAACTCGCCCTGACGCGTGTCGCGTATCGACAGCGGCTCTGATTAACATTTCCTGCTTCTCTTAATGAGGACATCAATAAACTCGGCTTAATTGAAACTATGTCCCGGCATAAGAAAAGCGTGTAGTAAAACATAACAATAAAACAGCTGCTACTTTATTATGTGTGGTTCCGTGTAACCTCAATCAATAGTCAGATGCAAATCGGCCACGCTTTGTACTGCAGCCGGCCTCTCGGCTGGGTTTGTGCCGCGCGCACGTGTCAGCAAAAACCTAATATGTCTCCGAGAACTTTCAGCCTTTCAGATTATAAGAAATATTATGAAATATTGTGTCATATCTAATAGTTGGAAATGTCCTCCATGATAAAATTTACTGGATCAAACAGCGGGTCTCGCTCTGCCTCACGGGGGAAAAGCCCATAATTAAATTCTGGGTAACCTAATATTGCTAAGGAGTAGCTTTCCAGATATTTGAAACTTTTGCTACACTTAAATAATAGAATTAAATCATGGGGAAACTGAAGTGAAATTTAATATGCGTAATCTTCCTCCCTTATTGTTTTTTTTTTCTTTTCTTCTGCACTGCTTCCCCTCTTTGCTTCTCATATTCCTTCTTCTGTTTTGATTCTCGTAGACGCTGTGCTCACGTGCAGGATGATGTTATAGAAGTGTTAGAACTGGTGGTTGAAATGTGGATTCCAACTGTCAGTGGATATATTGTGCTGTTATTCTTATATTTAGCATCAAACCTGGTGTGGAGGTATCACATCTTCTACTGAGATTGGTGAAGCCTGGTAATGGGAGTAAATGGTCTGCACTTGGTAAATTTCATGCAAGGTGCTGCCTGCCATTGGAAGCGACTTCGGATTCAGTGTCTTGCCCAAGGACACTTCGACTGTGGAGGGGCCAGGGATCGAACCGCCAACCTTGCGATTGGAGGACAACCGCCTCCCTGGAGAAATCATAACCACTCTTGTACAGAGATTGAAATGAAGTCACCATAAATGAACAAGATTGTTGCTGATGGTTCACAGCTTCCAGTGACCCTGTGCGATTAGGAAATCTGCTTTATGTTGCAAAACTGGATCATATCCTGTGACGCAAACCCCTAAAATGTTCTTTGCTTTCGTTCCTCTGCAGTGCCCGGCTCGGTTCCCATGGAGTCTCTGCAGAACACGCCGTACGAGGAGAAGATCTTCATGCAGTGGAAAGCTCCCAACGAGACCAACGGCGTCATCACTCTGTACGAGGTCAGTCGGACTTCCAGCGTTGCCGCTGGTTGTTGGCAGCTTCACCAGGTTGCGGGTTTTTGGTCTAAATCCACACTGGGAGGCTTAAAAGTGTGAAAGTGTGGAATATGACATCGCTCCGTTGAGTTTAGCTTCAGTTTTTCACCGTTTTTTCTTCAAGTTGCAGCTATCCGACTACATTTCTCAAACTTAATGGTTCAAAATGAAGCAGACACTCTGAGAAGTTTGGCTGAGTGAGAACTTACTTGTTGAACACGTTCTTCTAGCACAGAGCAAGATGCCTCACAGATTAGTTTTGTGATAGAAATGAAAATGAATGCTAATCACGACCCGTGGAGATTAATCTCCAGCTCTGTCCCCACACTTTAGACTTTTATCCTTAATAAAGTGGCCGGAGGCAGCCCTCAAATGTCATGATATTCATAGAAAAGTGACTCATAACTTTACAGCGAAAGGTGAGGCAGCCTGGCAGCTAATGAACACCCGGTAAAACTCAGGAAGTTCCTGTAATTAGACATCAAACTTCACTTGTGCTGTTCGTCAGTTTGACTGAACAGATGTTGGTTGAGCTCAACGCTGCGACGTGTTGAGAAACAAAACGGAGTGAAGGGTTTTCTTTTTTTGTTTGTTTGTTTTTCTTTTCCAAATATCTTTTTGGGATTGAATCCGCTGAGTTGTGACAGACTGCGAGGCGGCGGGTTTGTTCCCAGGTCTCGATGCTGATCTCGTGTCACCTTGGTTGGCCTTTTCTCTGCAGCTTTCTGCTCTGTTACAAGAAAGTCTGCAGAGTCTGTCTGGAGAGAAAGAAGTGAAAGAGATCATTGTGTTTTTCATGCGGCGGCCGATTGATTTGCACGTAATGTCACCAAAAAAAAAAAAAAGACATAATGCTGATAATTGTAGGAAAGGAATGCCGAGCTGAAAGGAGAGCCGAGAGCTGAAGGAACTCGTTGAGCAGCGTTTTCAAGAACGATACTTAAAACCAATTGAACAAGTACAGTTGAAAGTGATAAAGAGAAGCAACCTAATTAGAGGGAAGAGCCGAGAGAAGCCGAGAGGAGCTGAGAGGTTTAGATAGGAGACGGAGGCTCTGCTAACTCTGCACCCATTACTGAGAGCGTGTGGACTCCCAAATGTGATTGTGGACTGTATTATTCCAAAACCTTTGGCATTAATAAGCTGCTAAAGCCACAGAAGGTTTCTACGAGCAGCCGGTCGGGCTCACGGTTCATCCCAAAGGTGTCGGACGGGGCTGAGATCAGATCTCAGTTCTCTACACCGAACCTGCAAAAAGAACTGTTCTAGATGGAAGCATGTTAAAACAGATTTTAAAGACTTTTTTTGAACGCCGGAGCATTAAAATTCCCTTTATTTAAACAAAGTTCTGATCCAAGACCAATAACATCAGCGCTAGGTAAGGGTGTCCACATACTTTTGGCCAAAAAAAAGTACATATGATAGTAACATCCTCTTCTGCTCCCAAAGTCTGGCAGCTTCATGAATGTGAATATTTTCTGATTTCTTTCCTTTTTTTTATGACAGTAAACTGAATATCTTTGGACATGACAAGACATTTGAAGAAACTTTGACATTTTAGAGACAAAGAGCAGAAAATAAACCAGTGAAGCTATTCAATAGCTTCATCTGATGCAGTTTAAGGAGGGCAACAAATGTTTTCAGAAAGCCATGTACCGGCTAGATTTTTATTTGCATTCATTCAATCAAGAGTCAAATGTGAGATTGCCTTTTAAAACTATATAGAAATCCTGAAGTATTGGAACCAAGTTGTTGTTACCCCAAACCATAGACTGTATAAAAGATGGACGTAGCTGCCGTGACGTCACCCGCTGGTTTCTGCACTGAGAACATGAAGCCAGGGTTTTGCTACTTCCTGGTTGACATCTTGGATTTTTGGAGCCAGTGACGCAAAAATCGTGGGAGGGGGGCGGAGCCATAGGAGCAGCGATTGGTCAGACGGATTGAGAGGCGGGCCCTCTCTGCCCCGCCCACATTTACCGCCTTCTACTTGCTTCGTCTGTATCGTCGCTGCCGACTGTCAATCAAGCCAGCCACGCCCCTTGCCCCGCAAAATGCTGACGATTTTTTGAAAATTCAGTATTGATTTATTTTCAGATTGGCCACCTGATCTCTGGATTTGACCATGAAAACTAATAAGAAACAAATCCTGAGCTGTAGGAATGCAGTATTTGGTGATCTGTGATCACTTCTTTTCCAATTCCAGTCTATGGGAGCCAGGGCTTTGTGGAGCCAGCAGCTAGTGGACGTAGTGATGCTGCAGGTTTTTGACACTTCCGGGTTGGCTTCATTTTTCAGGGCCGGTTGCTACGTCCATCTTTTATACAGTCTATGCCCCCAAACCAATGCCAGCAGCCTCAGATAAGATTGTCCACAAGCTTTTGGCAACATAATTTACATGTGACAGCGTTTATCGAAAGTCATCAGTCAGAATTTCTCAGTTTTGCCATTGTTAAGTAAATTTAATGTAAACTAACTTCACAGAGGGCAGCAAGATGCAGAAATTTACCCCACACTAGACTTGATTTTTATTCCTAAACCTGCGTCCGTTCAATCAAAGGTGAGGTCGTCTTTTAAAAGTATGTTTAAGCTACAGAGCTGTCATCTCACGCTGCCACAAACTGTATCTTGTGAACAGATAAAATTAGATACGAGCAGTGACTCAGTGGTGAATGTAAATTCTGGTGGAAGGAGAAAAAGCAGAGCTGGAACCTGGAAAGAAAGTAGCAGCGAGTCTTATCCCTCGACAGTCCTTGAGACAATGTTTGGGAGTGAGTGAGATACAGAGAGAGAGAGACGTGGGTGTATACTTTAGTGTGTGTGTGTGTGTGTGTGTGTGTGTGAGGGTGTGTGTGGTTATGGACGGTTTATTCGGGTTGAAGTTGAGTTGAGCCCTCTCTCTAATGAATTATTGACCCGTTCTCTGTCTCCTGTCTGCCTCTTATATCACTGCATCAAGGAGCTACCTCACACCGAGACCTGGCAGAGCTATTAGTGTGTGTGTGTGTGTGTGTGTGTGTGTGTGTGTGCCCCAATCTGAAAGCGAAGGAGAGAGTGAAGTACCAAGAAAAGGGGGGATGTGTGTTCCTCGAATAAGTTGAGAAGAAAGTATGCGAGAGAGTAAGTAGCTTCGAGCAGTCGGGGACTGAGCGCTTTTTGTTCGTTTGGAAATGTGTGCCGGAGTAAGAAAGTAAGGCGGAGATGAAACCCGCTGACGGACAGGTGAACACCGCTTCCTGTACGGTGGAGGGAAGTGAGTGAACTGTCTGAGCATCTCTGAAACAACTGGTCTTGGTGGGTATTTCCAAGTGGCACCAAGCTAGAAGTGGTCCAACTGGTGAAGTCTCACTGGTGCATGTTGGGAATGATGTGGTCCAGTCTCACTGCAAACCCGCTGTAGCATGGATTCCTGTAAACCTTCATGCTGGATGTATGAAGCTGTGCAGCCTCAGACCTCATATTGACCTGACGGAAAGCGACTCAATGGGCTCACAAGTAGCAGATCTGGACCATAGAGTGAACGGAGGCAGGTGGGCCAGCCTCTGAATCATCTTTGGTATAGTTGGTAGCACTGTTGTCTCGCAGCAAGAAGGTCGCCGGTTTGTGTCCCGATGAGGACACCCGGGAGTCTCCATGTTCTCCCCGTGCAGCGTGGGTTCTCTCTGGGTTCTCCGGCTTCCTCCCACACAGTCCAGAAACATGCTGAGGTTAATTGGTGATTCTAAATTGTCCGTAGGTGTGAATGTGAGTGTGCTTGGTTGTCTGTCTCTAAGTGTAGCCCTGTGATAGACTGGTTACCTGTCCAGGTGAACCTGCCTTCACCCTGAGTCAGCTGGGATAGACTCCAGCCCCCCATGACCCTAATGAGGATTAAGCGATGGATGGATGGATGGATGGATGTTTAGCTGGGGAGGAGATGGCAGCAGGAGGCACTACGGGAAGAAGGAGATCCGGCAGAGGCAGATCCGGGCCACTGTGTTTTGCATTAACTATCTGAACCCCAAAAACCCCGTAGTCGGATTTAAAAGCAATGCTATCTACCAAAAATCAACAAATGGAGTCCATGATTTGCCATTTGGTTGGAAAACTCAACTAAAGCTGAAAGTTTCAACCCAGTAAATAGATGTTGTGTTTTTCACTCTTCCTACAACTTCATGCAGCAGCAGAACCACATCTTATTTATTATCTTCCGCCCATATAATTGCCCCTCTTTTCTTTCTAACCCCTTTTTTCTTTCCTCGTGAACATCTAATGCCGCCTCTCTTTCTGCACAAAGACCACTCAGGAACAATCTCCCCGAGCCCTCCATTAGATCTCAACCCAAAGCTTGAAAAAGAAAAAACGCTCTCGGGACCGTCATCAGTTCCACCTTGTTCTGTGTCGATTTCATTAATATCAATCTGCCCCCCCGCCCTGCCCTCTCCGCCCGGCGGAGGCGGCACGACTCGGCGTCATCTGTTAAACATATCAGAGCCTCGACACAATGCGCCGCTATTAGAGATAATTACTATAATTGCTGCTATTGACAGGATTAAAGGCATCATCTGCAACATCTAAAGGCGCTCTTGTTGTGTCCCATCCTGCTCTGTTGTCTCTTGTTTTTTTTTGTTGTTCCCTCCCTTCGGCGTCCCTTCAGGATGAATCGGACGCAGGACAAAAGGGATGGAGGTGAGGCAGATTTGTGGAGAGGAGAGATAAGGAGAAGGGCGAAGAGAGGAGATAAAACGGCGAGCGAACAAGTGGAGATGTGTCCAATGGAAACGGGGGGGAGCCTCATCGTATGGCGCGATTACGGGGAATTAATCAATGTGCAACTTTGATCACTCCATCTCTCGTATCTATTACTGTAATTGCGGCTAATTACGGGATTAAAGGACGCATCTGGGCGAGATCTGAAGGGAGGCTCGTCTCTCTTCCTCCCTCCGGTCGTCTGTTGAAAACATTAGATGATGTCGAAGGGAAAA